GCAGTAAGCAAGTACAAGTAGTTCTTAAATTTTCTTTAAAAAGAAAAAAGAGGTTTTCTGGGTATGTTAGCACATGCCTATAATCCTAGTGTGTCATGTCCAAAGCCTGCCTGCCCTGCATAATGAGCTCTAGGCTAGCCTGGGCTACCTAGTGACAGTTTGTCACAAAAACCAAGACAGCCAGGGCTGGGAGATGGCTGCATCCTGCCCTTGCAGAGGAGGCAGATGCAGATCCAAGAACCCACAGCAGGTGGTCCATAACTGCCCAGGGGTAACCCCAGCGCCAGGGCTCTCACACCCCTCTTGGCCTCTGAGGGCAGCACACTCTGGTGCTTGCACCCACATGCAGACACACAAATACACAAAAATAAAACTAAGTCTTTAAATTGTTCTGCCAAATGAGCAAACACAAAAAAAACAGAGTTTGCCTGAATGTCTACAGTACCAGCACTCAGGGAATGCAGACACGAGTTCAAAGCCAGCCTGGGCTACCTAGCAAGACCTTTTGTTTCTGGTTGGTTGGTTGGTTGGTTGGTTGGTTTATTTGTAGCTGGGGTTGGGGAAATGGTTCAGTGGTTAAGGATATACACTGCCCATGCAGACGACCTGAGTTCTCTTCCCAGTACCCACACTGGAAAGCTCACAATTGCCTGTAACTCCAGGGGGATCTGCCATCCTCCTCTTGGGCTCTGCAGGTACCCACTCCTATGTACATACCGACACACAGACACTCACATGTACAAACAAGAGGACTTGCTGTGTAGTTGGCACCAGAGTTCAGATCTCAGCACACACCAAGCCAGACATCTCTACAATTTTACCCATGCTCTAAGAGAGGCGAAGGTGGGATGGCTGCTGGGAAGGGGTCAGTTATGAGACATAGTGCTAGCTGCTGCTGAGCTAACTGATGGTAGACCAGTGGGTCTGAATGTGCTCTTAGTGAAGAATATTGATGAGCTAGGCAATAAAAACACGGCATGTGGGTGTTCTGGACAGGCTGGCTTGTTTGTCCGGATGCCGCAAGTGCCTTTAGAACTCCAAAGCAGGAGTAGGGCTTTCTATAGCAATAAATGGCCACGCAGGGAAGTGAGAGAAGAGAGTGGAGGAGAGAGGACAAGGGTGGAGATGACCCTTGTGGCCCATGAGAACAAGTGGCAGAAACAGCAGGGCTTGTGCACAGTGACATGGGGTCTGTCCAGATGGCAGCTGTGAACGGGTGTGTGCAGTTAAGGGAACACCTTGATAGTTTTCTCACATGAGTCACAAAACCGATTTCTTTTAAAACTGTTGCCGACCACCTGTAGGAGTTTCTAGGCTGTCCCATGGAGTGTGACAGAGTTTCTAGGCTGTCCCTCAGAGTGTGACAGTTTTTAGGCTGTCCCACAGAGTGTGACAGAGTTTCTAGGCTGTCCCTCAGAGTGTGACAATTTTTTTATTCTAGCTCCAGTTACTTCCCAAACCGGAAATGTCGCAGAGGAACCAAGGCCCAACCCTTCCAGTCACCTGCCCAGTGCCTCTGTGGAGGGGATGTGAAGCCAGGGAATGTAAGGGTAGAAAATTCACCCCCAGAAAGATGAACCCAGAGAGCTGCTGCGTTTTCCATGCAGCACGGCAGGTTAAATTGTCTTTCTTGTGGAGACATTAATGACCGTCATGTCTACACTGCTGAATTCTTGTCTAAGATGCTAAAGAAATGTCGCTTGCCTGGGCTCACAGAGCTTGTCAGGGGCAGCGTATGGACTCAGCCTGTGCTCCAGCCCGGCCTCTACCTGTGCTGGGGATAGGAGACAGGGACACTGTCCACCAGCACTGCCAAGCCGCAGGGCCTGGTTTCTGTGGGCGCCTTTCTGCCTTTTCTTTTTTTTTTTTATGACGGTATGGACAATGGGAGGCGTCTGCATGCACGTACAGAACGTAGCTTGAGCACGTCATCCATAGCCCTCTCCCCTTCCCCTTTCTCAGTTCCTAAACTGGCTTTGCTCTTGTTGGTGGTTGATTGGTTTTTATTTGTTTGTTTTTGAGACAGGTTCTTACTATATGGCTCTGGTTATCCTGGAATTCACTATGTAGACCAGGCTGGCCTTGAACTCACAGAGATCTGCCAGCCTCTGTCTCTTGAGTGCTGGGATTAAAGGCATGCAGTCACCATGCTTAGCTTCTGAACTGGCTTTTCTAAAAGTGCTGCGTGTAATATGTATGTATAATATGTATATATAATACGTGTGTGTAATATGTATATGTAATATGTGTGTATGATATGTGTATGTAATATGTGTGTGATATGTATATGTAATACGTGTGTGTGATATGTGTATGTAATATGTGTGTGTGATATGTATATGTAATATATGTATGTATAATATGTATATGTAATATGTGTGTGTAATATGTATATGTAATATGTGTGTGATATGTATATGTAATATGTGTGTGTGATATTTATATGTAATACGTATGTGTAATATGTATATGTAATATGTGTGTGTGATATGTGTATGTAATATGAGTGATTTTCTTACATTGCCATCCATTTCCTTGAGAACCTACTGCATGTCAGCCCTCCGATGCAGGGTGCGCTGTTGAGTGCAGTTCTAACCCTTAAATAAAATTTGCCAAGAGATTTATACCACAGTCATGAAAAGTCAAAAGCACGTAGCCTATCCCTCGGCTAACAAAAGCCACCATGTGAGGCAGCTCCCACAGCTCTTTGTTCTCGGAGAGAAGTAAACACAGGTCTCTTGTACATTACCTCCCAGCCAAGGGGGTGAGTCTCCTGCAGTCCCCTCAGGGCCCTGTGACATCACAATGACCAGGGTTAGGCATCCCTGTACCCAGTGCAGTGCCCACGGGGCTGCCTCTTTCATGTCAGCACTCCCTTCGACTCTGAAGGCTCCCTAACCCTATGGTGTGGTACGGCATCCCTGCCTGTCTGCTTTGCCTGTGGCCCATGTGGTTTCCAGCAGCACCACTCCCACCCCCTCAGGGTCTGGTTCCTTTTTATCCAGTTTAGTTTTAAAGTTTCATCTTCTACTGGGCTTCATTAAGGGGCTTTCCCACCTCCTCCCCCAAGTTGTAAATGCTGAGTGGTTCTCCATGTTCAGGTGAGCAAATTAGCCCAATTAGCTGGGTAAATTAGTCATTCTTACTTTCCGAAGGCCTGCTGAAGAGCCTTTCCAAATCACATTTACTGCTGTCTAACTGGCAGTTTAAAGAACACCAGCATGTGGCCTTTGTTTAAGAGAAAAGCATCTTATGCAGTAGCCTACTTAAAAATGGCCTTAGAGGTTTGCTCGGGACAGACTGGGAATACTGTGTGGCCAAGCGACACAGAGTCTCTGGTGCAGGCATTGCCAAGCTCGCTCTACTTTTATTTCACATGACGGTGGGTGCTATAGTCAAGCACAGCAGGCTTGGCTAAAAACTACTTTTAATCCCAAAGCCTCATGTTAAGCCAGTGTTTTCTTGGCACCCTACTCTCTACCACTCCACACCCCCACCAAGAGTTCTTAGCAGGCACAGAAAAGCCTGCTAACTGGTAAAGAGTAAGTGGTAAAAAGCCAGTAAATGTGGAGGAAGAGGGACCCAGTGGAGGAGCAAGTAAGCTGTGAGGCTATAGGGATGCAGGCTCAGGGAACCGGCATCCTTTCATGGCTGACAGAGCACAGACACATCTTAATGTGTATAGGGTTCAGCCGCCTCCCTACCTCCTCACTACCACAGAATCGAGTGAGAGAAGGCATGGAGTTTACTTGAAACATAGTGGGCACTGAATAAACACGCAGTCCCCTCCCTCCTGGACCTTTTCAACTCTCAGCCTCAGATGATGGCGTCCTTGGCCGCTGCCTCAGCTGCTCTTCAAACAGTCTTATTAATGCCTATTAAAATGAAACCCAATAAAAGTGCCAATATTTGGTGTTGAAATAATTGACGTTGCAGAGCGAGCCAATGAAGCACCTAGGCAGGCCCCTGGTGCAACTTAGCCTCACACCTGGGGATGAATTTCACAACGGTAATTGCTACCATATAATTCTTATTAATGTTGTGCTATAATTCCTATTTATTCCACGGGGCTTGTAAATGCATTAGGACTTGTCAACATATTATTTTACACTGTTTATGATCTGTAGAATTATGTCCTTCAGGGTTGTATTGTGCAAAAGCGCAAAATAAATGGCTTTGGGCCTCCCTCATTAAAGAGAGTAAAATAGGACCACTGTTGACGTGTTTCTCCATCCCAGCTGTCCCAAGCCAGGAAAGCCGAGTCCTGATTCAATTCTGGGCAAAGCCCCTTTCATCTTTAGGAATATAAAGGATTCCTCTTCCATTCTGAGTAGTCACTCAACATGTCAGGCCTGCTGGGAAGTGTGTGGCTAGAAGGCAGATGAGAGAGAAGGGTGAGAAAGGAATGTTTTCTCTCCAGGAAGCCGGAGCTGCACCTCAGAGCTCTGGACATTTCTGCCCTTCTTGCTCCGTGGCTTGGGGTGGCCTGCATCTAGTTCCACAGTAGCCTCGGTAAGCTAAAGAGCCAACATGCGTCCCCTCTTAAGGGCAGGTACCTAAGGCTCCGTTTGAAGCACGATTCCCTCCCAGAGCTGTTTGTGTTTTCTAGACTAGAACAGAAGACCAAGGGACAGAGTTCTCTCCACCATCCTGTCCAGTCTAGCTTGTATGTGTATTGAGAGGGTCTATCATTGTTGTCTGTGTGTGCTTGGGCCCCTGGAGCCACCCTGGAGCCTTCCTGGTCCCTTTGCAGCCACAGGCAGTCCTATCTATAATCTTGTCACAGAATGAAGTCCTGTTCCACCAGTTCCTAGCTGTGGATTGCTGGGAAGCTTTTAACCTGGTCTCTTCCTCCCCAGGGGTAACAGCAGTCCATTTGGGTCTAGAATGGCCTCTCCTCGTGCACCTGTGGCTGCCACCATTGCTAGTCCTCCTGTCCTTCAGCTGGCCTGCGGGAAGGTGGCAGCTTCTGACGGTCTTTGCACATCTCTTCTCCATAGGCAGCGAGTATGACGAGGAAGAGGTGGACTATGAGGAGTCAGACAGCGATGAGTCCTGGACCACAGAGAGCGCCATCAGCTCTGAAGCAATCCTCAGCTCCATGTGCATGAATGGAGGGGAAGAGAAGCCTTTCGCCTGCCCAGTTCCTGGGTGTAAAAAGAGATACAAGGTAAAGGAAAGGTCTCTTCACTCCATGTAACTCCTTGACAAAGAAGCACTGTAAAATAACTGCCCTTTGCAATTCTAAAGAGCCTGCCTGTGTGCCAGGGATAGATACCTCATGGCCCATGGTCACAAGGGCAAAGGCCTCACATACATGCACCCAGTGCCCTCCAGTGAGCATTGGCTGGGGTTCTGGATGATTGGCTGGCTTTCTCCTCTCTGACTTGGGTGGGAGATTAAGTCAAAGAGCTCTTTTGTAGAAGGCCTCTAGTTTTGATGTTGGTCAGAATATCCAGTGCAGGGGCTGGGACATCAGTGGTAGAGATGGGGCTTAGCATGCAGGAGGGACTGTGGTCCATCCAACACCATAGCAACAGAGCAAGGACTGTGTCAGCCTACTTATTTGCAAAACATTTTTTTTTTTAGTGGATAGATTTCCAGGTGGCTGGGCCTATAAAAGCCTCAGCCAGTTTACAGAGCCTTCTGGAAAACAGGGTTGGGTATTTACCTTCCAGCTGGGCCATTCTTGCCCCCCTCCCGCCTCCCCATAAAAGACCAGGAGAAGAAAATGCTTTGATTTCCTCTCAGTCCAGTGTCTCCTCTGTTCACCTGCTGTGTCTAACAGTCCTAACACTGGGTGACTCAGGTAGCTGGTGGTACTGGCTTTTCAACTGAGGAAACTACTAAGAACAAAACAGTAAAAGAAGCACCGAGGAAAAATATTTGCAGGAAGTCCCCACGGGGGTTAGCAGCTCTTTAAAATCAACCGTGTAGCAATGAAAAACTCCCAAGCATGCCTGGTAGACATGAGAGCACATCAGCTTACCCTGTCTGTGCAGACTGACTGGTTTTTTAAAGACTTAAAATTTGGTAGCACGAGCACATCCTACACTGTTTCTTAAATATGTGTCTCTGAACAACTGTTAGTATTTTAATCTCACTATCAGAAAAGCAGAAACCCCAACAGCATCACAGAGTGAGGGAGCCACTCTGCTGCTCCAGGACTGGTAGACCAGATGGCCTTCGTTAAACAAACATTCAAACCCTAGGACAAAGATGTAGGTCCTATCAATTCCAGAAGGGCTGCTCAGCCCAGGTCAGCACACAGCACAGAACACGAATGTACAGCTTCCGTATCCAAGCCTGGAGGCACAGAGAAGAGCAGCCTCTAAGAGTACCAGCACAGTATGCCAAAGAGCAAAGATAGAGCAGAGCGCCCCAGAGGGCAGCTCTCACTACTGAAGGTTTCCCTCCTGTTTCAGCTACACTGTAACAGCTGGGCAGGGACTGTCAAGGTTGTTCTGCCTGTGCTGGACCGGTTCTCTCCACATCAGCTGCTCTTCAAGCGTGGCTGCCTCTCCAGTGCCTGAGCACTGAGTGCAGAGCCTTGCACAGCAGCCTTGCTAAGGAGAGAGCTAAGGAATACTCACATCGAGGGGGACCTCAGAAAGGGGGGCCTCACAAGCTCCACCTTTCACTCTGGGTGGGAAGGGTGGGGCATTCTTCCCCCTCCCCTATTCTTTTAAGGGTCCCCAGCGATTTCTTCCCCTCTCTATGCCTGGCTTCACATGGGGTTTGAATGCTCTCTCCTTTTAAGGCCAAGAGCAACCTTAGTGACCCTGTGCTGCAGGAGCTGATTGGCTTTGGGCACATTGAGTAGCGCTTGGTGTGGCAGATGGGCGGGTCCAGTGGCTGTGAGGGAGGCGTTCCCTTGCTGATTCAGACGGCACAGAAGACACCCCTAGCCACGCCTCCTAGCAGGATGCTGAGCTTCCCATGGTTGTAGAGCAGCTGAGCTGTCTTGAGAGAACGCACTCACCTTCACTGTGTGCTTAGAGCCCTGGTACTGGCAAGAGGCAGTCATCAGCCGGTGTGCTCCAGAATCAGGCAGAATCCATAGGGGCAGCCATATTGTTTATTCCCAAAACCAGTCGGATTTTAATTTCACCCACACCCCACACCCCACCTCCGCTTTGTTCAGCAGGGAGTCTCTGACAAGTTAGATTCTCATTGGACACTGACTCGGGGGTAGCTCGCATCACTCCATCGAGGTCCCCAGGCTTCACGTAAAGAGCAGGACAGGATGTGAGAAAGGACCCAACAGGAGGGCATAATGCCTGCACTTTCCTTTGCTAGGACACCCCCTTCAGAACTTTGTAGAGGAAGAAAAATACCTGCCATGCCAATAACTAATAAAAGATAGGCTAAAAGGAGAAACAGGAAGTGTGTTACCATGGATGTTTCATACACGTGCACATAGGAAACATGCAAGGAATGAGTGAGCAGTCTCCAGACATGGCTGTGAGTCCCAGCTTGTGGCACCTTCTAACAAAGAACAGTGATTTTAGAGACACGTCGGCAAAGCCAACACTCAACACGGTACACAATAGCCACCACACGCACAGTGCACAGGGAAGCAAATGGCCAATAAAGCACCGCTAGCAGCATTAAGTCTCTGACTTCAAAGATCAGCCTTTATTTTCCCCAGAAGAGAGGGCAGACAGACCGAGGGACAGGAGAGAGCTCTTGTCTGCCCAGCAGTCTTGGCAGAGCTATGCTCAGGTTGACATGATCTGGGCCCCATCCTTTCCTGTCTCCTTCAGTGCCTCCTACTGTAATTCAGCCTGCCAGGCTCCCAGTGCCCACTCTAAACTGGGCTTTCACCTTACCCAGTTCTCTGGAGGTGCCAGCTGCTCTGTGATAGCCCACAGTCCCCTCCTAGACACCCAGCATAGGTCCCTGATGTGGTGACTAACCTCAGATCCAAGGAAAGGTGTAGTACCTGGAGAAGGGGGCACCTGGCTCTCCGCACCCGACACCCTGGCCTGTCATGGCAGGATGTTTTTGGTGGTGGTGGTGGCAGCGGAGGCTTTGTCCAGATCCCTCCTGTGTGCTTCCTGCCTCCTTCCCTCCCCTCTGTGCAGACTCCACTCTTCTGCTTTGGAGCCAAAGAGGAGAGCCCCACAGCCTACCCCACCTCGCTGCAGCCTCTTTCTTGGAAAAACTGTAAAAACAAGTCCAAGTGCCCGGTTTTTCCCCTTTGGTGAGTTGCACCCTCTCATGGTGAGGGTTAAGTGTTTCGTGACTCAAGAGACGTGAAATAGAGCAAGTCCCCTCACAGGTGTCCCTGCCAAGACCGCAGCAGACAGGCCTGCATGGATAGTGCATCCACTCCACTGTCTGGAGTATTCCCACAAGGGAATTCCTTCGGATCCCTCAGAAGCCCTGATGGGTGTGAGTGACAGGAGCTGACAGCTAACACGGAGCCTTCAGTGTGGTCCTCCAACCCATATTCAGTTTGAAGTGTGTCCTAGGCTGAGACTGTGCTCAGTGGCTCTTTGCCTGCAATTACCTAATGTGTGCAGTGGGCCTAGTGTGGGGGTTCCATCCACAGGTCCACAAGAACTCTTTCCTAACGTCTCTTAAGACATACATACTGATTTAGGAAATTATAAGCTTCTAAGAGTAGGGGAACAGAATCAAATTCTGCCAGCAGAATTTTATTCTTAGAAATATTTGACACTGAATCTCATAAAGTAACATTGTGTGTGAAAAAGAGACTTGTTTGATACTCTTACACTCAAGTACAGAGCCTGCTCTGGTGTGAGTAGTGTACCTGTCCACCACAATCCCTCACCACCTTCTGCATACAGATATGCGCACTGGGTACATGAACCGGGGTGGAGCTGTGTGCTTCTGCCTGCCTGGCTCTTAGCGTGTAGGTGCTGTGGAGGCAGGAGACACGCACCTCTGTGGTGCTGCTGTCACGGATCTCCAGATGTAACCAGCGCTCTCCTCCCCTCCTTCTCTTCCTCACCAAACTCCCCAAGAACCCTCCCTGTGTCCTTTACATCAAACACCAGGGACCTCAAGGAACTGAATCCAGCTTTCCTATCCAGGGCAACAGCACCTACTGGGGCTATCTGAGCTGAAGGACTGACAACAAACATCACTCGGTGGAGGCAGATGGCCCCATCCAACATCTGGACCTCAGGCCTCCTGTAGACTAGGCGTTTTGGAACAGCCTGGAGTTTTTCTACTGACCAGCCTAGTTTGATAAGGACAGTACTTCTTAACGGCAGAATCCAAATTCCTCCAACCTAAGCCCTTAGCTACCCTTCTGTTGCCTTTCTTCCTACCTAGCCCAGCACAAGACTATTTAAAGTCCCAGACCTTCACAGTTGGAACAAGTGCCAAAGCCCCCAGCTATGTGTTTGAATTGAGCAGCAAACAGTACCTAGCATTTTAGGAGGGTACCAGAGGAAACACACAAGTGCCATTCCTGACTCCTGTTCCAATTCTGTAAGGCAGGTCATTCTCTGTGTGTCATTTCTTCCCCCAAAATGTGAGTTGTTATCCATAGACATTAAGCTCCTGGTGTTACATTCTAGACTTTCCAGTGAACTTCAAAATTTCCTTATCCTTTCAAAATTTAATCTTGTCATCCCTATTCAGAACCTACAGGGTTTGACATTTTTGTTCATGTTTCCGAGGGGCACAAACTTGTAAGATTGGTGTCATCACAAGTTTGAGTGACGCTTCATCTTGCTTTGCCATTAGCAACGGGAAAAAGCTCTTCCTCAAGAATCTAGAGCTGGGACTGGAGATGGCAGAGCAGTTAAGAGAACTTCCTGCTCTTCCAGAGGACCTGAGTGTGGGTCCCCGTACTCATGTCAGGCAGTTCACAAGTGTCTGGAATGCCACGCAGCATTCACAAACATACATACACAATAAAAGTATGACAGTAGAAACAATTACAGTGTGAGGCTGGAGACTGGCTCGGTGAGTGTGAGCATGCGTCAAACACATGTGCCCAAGAGGCAGACACAGGAAAATGCTGAGACTCGATGGTTGCCATCCTAGCCCCAGGGTGAGACTTCACACATCTGCTGTGGCCTCTGTGTACACACAGGCACACATGTGCACACACACCTTCTTTCACACAGAGAATGTGATCTCCACACACGCGTGTGTGCACACACATACCTCTCACACACTGTGATTGGTCTATGCTGTGGTAAGCCTTCCCCACTGCTACCTGGGAGCTGGCTAATCACAGCAGCAGGAACGCTGCCCTGGCTTCTTTGGATACCCTGAGAATGCTTCCAGATGTGCAGTTGGCTTCATTCTTCCCAGAATAAAGAATAAGGTATAAGGTAGTTGTGTCTTTGAGAAACAGCCAGCAGAAGGCCACAGAACTTGCTGGATTCATGCCCACTCCTGGTGAACTGTGTCTGGGTTTAAATACCTGGCTTCAAGTCTTCCCTGGCCTAACCAGGCTGCAGTTGCTCTGCCTTTTTGCTTCTTAGTTAAGGTGTTTTCTCTTTTTCTACCCTGACAAGATATGAGTGGTAGTGAGCATAGGGTTAACTTCTCTCTCTCTCTCTCTCTCTCTCTCTCTCTCTCTCTCTCTCTCTCTCTCTCTCTCTCCCTCCCTCCCTCCCTCCCTCCCTCC